TTTCAAAATTTTACATATTTTCAAAAGGTAAGTAACTGGATAAAATATCAGTTGAATATTCGCCAATAGGTTAAAAGACAAATTTTAAACTTTAGAATATAAAAAATTAAATGCGAAAAATATATTTATTTATTATATATATATAATTTTTTCAACAAAATTTGACAAAAATCAAATTTTAGTTTATGTAATCATAAAAATCCGTTCTTTTTTAAATTTACCATTTAAAAACACAAAAATGTTAATTAAAAAAAACAGATTTTTGCTTTTAATTTTTGGAAAATGAGGTACCCCGAAGAAATTGTAACAAAAATCGACGAAAGGATGCAATTTGAGGGTTGAAATTATTTCCAGGGTACCATGGTGAATTACTCAGCATACTTTAAACGGCAACACTGATTTCATTAGCTGTGTCGTATTAAAAAGTTTGTGGCAGTTAAATAAATCTCAATCCATTTAGTTTTTTTCATATATATTATTACTATACTTTCAGGGTCAGCAGCTATTTTAAGCTCCACCTGATGATGGTCTTAAGAACAAAAATTATTGCTGTGTGTTATATTAGAAGATAAAACGTTTAACTCTGATAAAAGCAATGTCACACGTAGTGCATACTAAATTACAATGTCAAGGTTGGCGGAGGAAAGATAAAACTCAAGATAAAATAAAACTCTACGAAGAGAAAACCTGCCTTTTATAAATAATAAAATTAAGCAAATCAGATCATTTCAAACGCGGTGAAAATTTATGTTATAAATATTCACCTTTTAAAAAACAATTGTTTATTTTAAATGTTAAATTATTTTATTATCATTTTGTTAAGAAAAGTTGTGAATACTTTTAAACGTCTTACCTACTTAAAAGTCAATATATAATCTGCTATACAATAACTTTACGTTATGTCAGTAATATTCTGATGCAAAATATATAAGCATAATAATTTTTGTCATCAGAGTTACGAGACTTTAGACTGAGCTGACGTAAGTTTTTATTCTTTCCTACTCTTCATAAAATCAATTTGTTTTCAAAAACTTTTCGAGACAACAAGACCGCAACTACTGTATCTTACAGTTAAAGATTTAATTTTTAGCAAAAAATTATGGGTATACATATCATTTTCAAAAAGGTTAAGAACCAATTAGAATAAAAGCAATGTACATCTTTTATAAAAAATAAAGACATGGAGGGTTATGATCGCACACAAAGACGTAAAATTAAATTCATGTCATAATTAAAGAAGGCAGTTTTTCTCTTTAGCAAACCACTTTATTTTCTCAAACGCATTCCTTCTTTTTATCTTCATTCTCAAATAACTTGTGTTTTGCATGCTTCAAGTTCTCGTAAAAATTTATGTATAACATTGCTTTTAACAGTTTTGCAAAGCTAGCAATTATTTTTCTTGAAAATAAAATGACTAAAATGTTTGGCTCCTTATACAACGCACACGAGATTTTAAAAAAGAGTTATCAATGATAATTGTAACAATATTTTTAACTAATTTAATGTAATAGATTGTCAAGTTTAAAGAAAACATACCCAATTTGAATCTGCTTTCAAACAGTAGAGGGTGGTGTTGAATCAGTAAGTACTAACGGTGTAACGGTGTCGCACAAAAGTCGGTCGTGTCACTAGTTTATAATAATATAAAGGAAAGCAGGAAGCGTTTACTCTTATGAAATGTTATGCGAACTTAATTATGTTTTTGACATAATTATGTTTTTCAAAAAGTCATTATTATTCTTGTTAGAAAATAATTTTTAAAAAAAAGTAAAATAAAAAGTCAATAAAAGTTAAAGCAAAAATTTAGTGTGAATTACAAAAAAAAAATAAAAGTTTAAAGCGTTAGAAAATATCAGTCCACCGAACTATAAAAGAACATAATTTAATATCGATCACGAAAATTGATGAAACGATCGAGTTAAACGAACAATAAAAAATAAAAATATAATTTTATAACTAAAACCACGTTTGGAGAAGGTTTCTAAGTGATAATTATAATTCAATACGAAATTATTAAATAAAAAATATAACTAAAAAAATCGTAGATTTTCCTCATTATACATTTATTATAAAAAACAATCAAACAAAAAAGAGGCAGATTTTGAAAAATTAAATATTGAAAATGTAATTATTATTGTTAGTGATTTACTATTAATTATTTTTGATTAATTTTTATTAAATTCAATTACTTTATAGGAAGGAAATTAAAAAGGAATTTAATTAAGATAACCAATTTTTCTGTAAAATGAGTGATTTTTTTAATTGATGATTTTTATTTCAGTTTATTTACTTTATTTATTAACTTTAGTAATCAATTATTTTCTTATTTATATAAATGAATAAATTACAGATATTGAATGTAAATAAATGAATTATCGTAAAAATTTATTTGGATAATTTTCATACTTTGATTGTTATAATTGGAATGCATTTTTTTTTTATAATTATAATTGATGCTTCGTTTTCCTGTCTAATTATTTCATATTTGTTTTTATAGTTTCTAATGAGAATGTGTAATATATGTGTCTAAACGACATATAATAAAATTATATAAATATAAAGAAAGTCCAGGTCTCGGATCGACTTTAAGACGCAAAAAAGACATTTTAGTCGATTTACATTCCAAAAAAAGTCAAAAAAGTGGATTGTTTTTATTTTAATTAAATTTAATTAGTTGAGAAGTATTTTACTTTAAATAACTGCTGTTATTAGAAATTAAATCCATTTACTAATTCCTTAATAAGAATAATTCTATAGGAATATTATTATCAAGAAAATTTATTTCGAATATTTCAGAATCGAAGACGTAAATTTTTTAAAAATTAATCAAAACATATTTCTAAAAAAAAATTCAAGGGATTTTTAATTGAAATTTTTGATGATTTCTGTTGATGAAGAATATATTAGAAATTAGAGACAAAAATTCAATTTTAACAGTTTCTAATTGAAAAATTCTTTCAAATAATTGCATTTTTGAAGAATATTATAAAAATCATTAAATAGAATTGAATTTAGGAAAAATTATAATCGAAATTATTCAATTTCAAAAAGTTTTCGGTGTCAAATTTTAAAAATAATAAATTTTGAAAAGGATTTAAATTACAATTTTTGGTAATTTTATTTAACATTTTTTAAATTCTAAACAATTGTTGAATTTGTAAAGAATTTCATAAAGATTATGAAAAATAATTAATTTAGAAAAAAATTTCAGTTAAAAATTTGTTAAATAATTTAAATAAAGAAAATCTGTTGAAGATCTTCATTGTATACTAAAAAAAGACGTATTTTGTTAAATTTTTTTTTTTAAATATAAAAAAAAGTCGAAAAAGTTGCATCTTATTCAAATAAGTCGAAAAAAAGTCAGAAAAAGTCATACAATCCGAGGCCTAAAAGTCGTTTAAGCTAAAAGAATTGCAGGTTTTTTTTATTCTAATCTTCTGAATAAAATATTACGACTTAAAAACAAAATAAATGTTCCTTTAAATTTTAAATATAAGTAGTTTCTTCTATTGAACGAGCTTTACAAGTGGAAAATTTCCATTGAGAGTTACACTATAAAAAAGCACTGCTTAAAAACCACACATTAAAACGAAAATCATAAAATTTCAGTGATATTATCCAACTGTCAGATGTTAAAAAACCGAAAATAACCGTCCACACTTTTAACTTTTTTTTTATAAAAACGTAAAGATATTAAATTTGCGAATATTCAGATAGCTATATCTATTCTCACTGGAATGGTTGAATTCAAAGCAAATAAAAAGTGGATAAATTTAGAATATTTAGTAAAACGTATATATGACATTTGCAGTATAGAAACTTTTAGTTTTAAAGGAAGCGATTGTATCGAAAATAAGGAACAAGAATGCTTGATTAGAAAAAAGTAGGAAAAGTATGTTTGAAGGACGATGAGAAAGAGCTGCCAAGAGATCGAAGGAGCTAGCGCGCGCGCGGCCGGAATCGACTCTGGTGGCCGACAGCTAGTCGTGCCAGCTTTGACCTTGGCATTGAACTTGATGGCGCAGGGGGAGATGTTCACGGAGAAGGACTGCCCGGCTGGTAGGGGACGGGAGGGACGCCAGTGAGGACGGATAAAGTGAGATAGCATGAAATAAGGAAAGAGTGAGAGAGAGAGCAATGCGCGGGCGCACGAAACAGTAAAGGACGTTGGGGGGGACGGGGGGGATATTGCGTCATTTCGCGCAAGCCTGAGAGAATCGCGCGTCAATACAGCGGCCTAGCCCACCGACTAACCTTCATTATTCGGTTTTGGATAGTGATATGTTCAAGTACAAAAAAAGGGGGTTAGGGAGGTAGTGAGAAATTCGTGAGACGCACGGGTAAAAGGGAGAGGGAGGAATGATATTGCGGTGGGATATAGCACGTGGAACAGGATTAAAAAAAAAGGTGGGGAATCAGATATGAATCTGTAAACACAGGGGCGAATGTTGGGGCACCGATGAGCCCTAGAATCGAACAACTCCCACTGCTATTGGTATTTGGTTCCAGCACACCCACGCATTATTGGAGGACTGTGTTGTTCGGAAGGGGTTGACTGTAGGGAGGTCGAGGGAAATATATAGACTACTTTGCTGCAGAGTGACGTGGCCTTGGTTTCTACTTACTTGTTAATGAAAATTCAATTGGGAGTATTTTGATTAAGGAATTTAAAGAAAAGATAATAGAACCATAATATATAGAAATGTAAAATTACAAAAATAAATAACCGTTCTGATAGAGTCAAAAAAGCAAAACTGTCCTGAATTATTTCTCTGAAGTAATTAATCATCTCGTAATAATATATCTAAATAAATCCTTAAATCTCATAAAAAGCTATTTATGTAACCAAGTTAATTACATTCTTCAGGTCATTATATTTAACAAAATTATTACTGTTGAGTAGAATCTAATGGTTTTTTAGGATCCTTGATTTACCATAATTTTTCTCATTTGCATGAGTAGGATAATTTAAATAATTATTTAAAAATCAAACTACTCACCTAATTCCATAGGATATAGCCAACTGTTGATGTCCAGAATCAGGTCCATTTTGAAGGACTCGGATTCGCAGTGTAGGCGACTTACTATAACAGAAATTAAAAAATTTCATTAATTTTATGAATGTTTATTTAAACAATACAGTGAAATACGCAGTAAGCACATGTGTATACAAACACGTAGCAGTCGCTCGATGATTCATTCAAGTTGACTGACAATATAGAAAAAAATATTTTTGCAAGCGTTCCTCGATGGCGCTGTCTGACGTCATTAACAACCAGCCAATAGCTTCAGTTTGTGATATGAAATTATCATCATTGTGGAACAGAATAGATCTTGGTATCAACATTTTTTCAATAATTTTATTATTTAAAGAAATACAACTTCAGGGTGTCCTAACAAATTTAAGAAAATTAATCCTTTTCTTTCTTATTACAGGACAAAATCGAAAAATTTAACAAAAGAATTTGAGTACAATCAATTTTTTCCTAATTTGCAAAATTTAAGAACACTAAAAACTATTATGATTTTAAAATAAAAAAATTACACAACTTTTACCTAACCGAGATTTTTTCTTTGACATTCTATCTAAATTAATTTTTTTCTCTCTGAAAAATATTTGTGATTTGAAAATATTATTACTTTCAAGAAATATGTTGAATTTAAGTAAAAAACAGTCAATCTAAAGTAAAAAATTTATTTACGACAAAGCTATAAATTATTGAATCTTTTTCAAAAATTGAAGCTTTAAGAAAAAAAAAATAAAAGTTCGGAAAAAGTAATTTTTGATTGAAAAAATTATCTGTTCTCGATGATGTAATGTAAACACGTAACTTAAAGCAGACGGAAATTAGAGGATTGCAATACCAGATGACCTTGACAGTTTGATTGTCAAGATCACAACTCTTATTTGAAACAAAAGCAACACATAAAAATGTACTATTTTACAAATGCAATTTATTAAATACCTATCCCCCAAATAATAATTTTTATTTTATTTAAGCCTTTTTAATTAAATTAACTAAAAAATTTAAATAAGATGAAGTAGAAACATTTTTATTTACAAGACAGATTTTCTATTTATTACACACTAATTTAAAAGTATCAAATTGATATAAAAAATTTGGATTAATTTGATATTTTCGGTATCAATTTGATACTTTTAAGTTATTATGTGGCTATTATATCATCATTGATAAAATAAAACATTTTGCAAATTCATTGTTTTTTATTACTTAATTTATTAAAATTACTTAATAGAATCTAAATATTATTCTTTACAATATTTATTTTGATTTAAATTGCATTCACATCCTTTTAGCAACGATGACTCATTATTAATGAATTAAGGTTACTTTAAAAAAAAAACTATTCAAACAACGTACAACAACATTAACTTCATTTTCTTACCAAGAGTTCTAAAATAGGTCAACCGTAAAAGCACATCTCCTTAATCAATTTTTTTAAAAATGTAACTTTCAATTTCAACTATTTAAATCAAATGAAAATGGATTTTTTTTACATAAATATTATATGAAGATACATAATATATTTTGCAAGTTATTCTCATTAAGTTATAAGTTAATTTATATTTTTTATAATAGCCTATTATATTTCAATATAATAGCCAATCAGATAAACATAAAAAGAATGAAACTAGTAGAAAGATTAGTTCCATTAAAATTTCTACGAATAGAAAGAAAAGTTAAGAAATTTTGCAAAAAAAAAAGATTAGAATATAAAATTTTTTCATGTAGGATTTTCTCAAAAATAAAAAATTTATAAATATATCAACATTATTTAGAATTTCAATATTTTTTAAATTCCTAAAAAAATGTGAACTTTTATTTTCTTAAAAATAAAATAGAAATCGTAAAATTCAGAAATAATTCAATAATTCTGAATTACTCACAATATTGGATGATAAGGATGTATCTCCATCATCTTGACATTTCAGTCGAACGTCAAGGTCAAATCGAAATAATCTTCACCTCCAAAAACATTTTTGTTGAAACAACTTTCGGGATGAAGACATTTAACTTTAATTTTTTTTAGTGAAAATAATAATTAAAATTTGTTGATGAAAATTTGTGCTTTTTAAAAGACTAAAAGGGAATGTTCTAGTAGAACAGCTGGCTTTGCAGAACCAATATTCGAGGTTTGATAATGGCGCGGCCTTTACGCTCGGGTGGTAGGTAGTTGGAGTCCTCGAAGCGAAAGCACAGAACCTGGTCCCTTTCTCGAACTCCCAATACCCCCACCACCAATGATAAAATAACTACCCCTCATTGGAGAGTACGGCTACGGTAACGATGCGCATGAGAGGGCCGCTAATGCATTTACCCCCTCCTTCATTGAGGGTGGCACAGTGGAGCCGCAATTGTCCGCTTTCTCACTCTCACTCTCCTTAACTCTTTTTTCCTTTTTTTCTACCCTATCTCCGTTTTGCATTATTTCCCTCTTGCATCTATCACAATATCTGTATTTTGAGGCATTATTATTGAATTTCCCAAAGCAAAAAAAAAAACAACAATCCTGCCCAATTATAGAATACAATTGGGTTTGTTTTCGTGCACTTCTCTTAACAGGATATGACGCAAATTATGAGGTGTTAAAATGCCTAACAGATACCATAAAAGATTAAAATAATCAACTTTTGGAATTAAATTCGTTTTTGAATTTCGTAAATACAAACGTTTTTAGATTCAATTTTCGAAGGTCTTCATTTTTGGATATAATCGAAAAAAATATTCTGAAAGAATATATACTTGCGATCTATTTTACAATATTTTATATTTAAATTCAGTATGTAATATTCTATTTTTAAGAATTTAAGTATAAAATATTGAAAAATAGGTCCCAAGTATATATTCTTTCAAAATGTTTTTTTTTCGTGTTGATGTCAGTTTTTAGGGGAACGAAAACAAACCTATTTAAAAAAAAAGTTCATAAGCGGTTTTTAATAAATTAAAATATTTGCTTCACTTTAAAACAAATTACAATTTTATTTGGATTTTTTCTTACAAAATCTGTAAATTTAAAAACTAAAATACTAGGAAAATCGGAAATGGACGGATTACACACTATGTTAATTAATTACTTTCGGCCCATTTACATTCACTGTTTTGTCTAAGAAAAATCCGATCTTTCTTTTCGAACTGTTAAAAAAATTTCTAAATTCCAGTGAAGAATTTTTTATTAATTAAATTTTTTTTTATTAAATAAAACAAAATATTTAAAAAAAAAAACTCGCAAAACCACTTATGAAGTTTCTTAATCGAATTCTTAATCGACAAACGTTCGAAAATTGTATGTTCAAGTTTATAACTTAAAATAATAAGTGAGTATATGCAAACAATAAACAGAAATATACGACTTTTATGAAAACATGTCTATTGGTCGAAAAGAACCTTTTTGTATTGTCACTTGTTTATAGTTATTGCCTTATCTACTCATAACATAAGAACAGATAAAAGCACAAATGGAAATCGATTTCCTTGCGTGCACATTCTTATTTAAATAAACTAGAAACATAGCTAACTACCTATTGTTTTTTAAAATTCATTTACAAAATTCTTGATAATATTATTTTGCTGCGAGAAGGGTGCTTCATTCTGATATTAAAGAAAAGGTTCAGAATTACTGGTAAAAAAAATTCCAAGAGATTATAACCAGAAACGTTTTTTTAGAAATTAAAGTTTAGAAAAGAAAACAATCATGACTTGACGAAACTTTAACCTTTTATTTGATCTACAATCGTGTAATGATGACTTTAGAGGAAAAAATTGAATTTTTGAGGTCAGACCTAAACATGACCAACTGTCACGCACTTGTACTTTTTATTATCATGTTACATAAATTATACATTATTACATTTGGTAATTATTCAACAAACTTGATAATGTTTTATTGTTGGGGAAAAAGAACCTAGTCATAAAAATGAAAAAGCAAAGAGATGAACATGGAATGTGAAAAATAAGATTTGTCAAATAGCAAGCATTCAGTGGTTGAATCAAGTGAAACGTAGTGGAGTTTGCGCGTTGACGTTTGAACTGCGCGCTGATGTTATCCACTATCGACCAGGTTTCTAGCGCTATAAATACTGGGCACCGGGGTCTAGATATCCCCACTTCAAGCTGACAACCTTAAACCTTAACCCCCTCCACAACAACTACTGCTTTCATGCTGGCAAACGTGAGCACAACCACCACCCCATTCCCAACTGCCGCAAGGGGTAGAAAACCTTGACCTTCAAAGATGTGAACGAGCATCACCACCCCCAACTAGTGACACTCCCTTCCTTCATTCCCTCCCTACCTTGCCACGCGCTGCCCCTAAAACGACATTCGTGAGTTAAAAGACTATTGTTTGCTTTTTCTTAACTTTTACTCTTTCACATATTCACTTAAATATATTCCCTAAATTCAGTATTTTTATCAATATTTTGTCATTCAATGTTAAATTACATTTGTTTTATGAATTAGTTGAATTATATAAAAGCCTATATTACCCTACCAGAAATTACTAATACCAGTACTGCCCCAGTAGTCGATCTATAAAATAATTATTTATATACACATGTTTGGTCTAGGTAATCTAAAAACAATATAAATGCTCAACGCTGTTTTTAACAAATGAAATGCATTTTCAGTTACAAATGCTTTTTTTAAGAAAGGCAGTTTTCCAGATATTTAATATTTAATTAATACAGGCCTCGGATCGACTTTAAAGCGCAAAAAAGTCGTTTTAGTCGATTTACAGGGGCGCATGAATATCCCATAACAATCATAAGCTAACATTTTTCGAATTAGCATTTGAGTTACTTTCTTTGTAAACGAAATTTTATTTAACATAATTTTAAGATAATTTTTCTTTTCAAAAATTTTATGTTATCCAACTTTTTATTTTAAAGAATTATAATTTAATTCAATTTTAATTTATCAAAATTCTTATTCAACAGAATTTTAGTGATTCGAATTGTTTAATGTCAGAAATTTTGAATTATTGAATCTCCATGTGTCAGAATTTTCATTTATACGAATTGTTATTTGATAGAATTCCTAAAACAGAGAATTTTTATTTGACA